ACAAATGATTAAACTGATTTTACGTTTCTATCTTCTTTAGAATGATGATAAGGTATATTCAAGAACATATAAAACAACAATGTATCAATTAAATAAAGTCATTTAGTAAATTTTGAATCATATTTTATTCAGAATTTTAATAAAGATTACCATCTTGTGTACTCAAAGTATACTAAAGTGAACAATAGAATACGTTATTTTCTTTTGTAATATACACTAAACCATAAAGTAGATTAAAAATCAATAAAGTGAAATGTGAATTTTTACTCGTCTAGTAAATACAGACTAGTGCATTCGATCACTCTGTTTACATCTTAGTTCTAATAATACTATTTATTTAGTCAAAGATGAACAGAGTTAAGTTTTAAACTGAGAACGAATAATTGAAATCCAACCTTTCCGTACATCTATAATTCAAATACTCGGCATTATACTCTACAAACAATTACCCATAATCAATAATAACGAATATTCTTGGCTTATAAAAATATTATTATTTAAAATCTACTCGAAGACAGTTGATATAATAAGCTAAAGAACATCTGAAACTTAGAGAATACTGATTTATAAACTATCAAAAGTGTACCTGTTATTCTATTCAAAAGATTGAACTTTGGAATTTTATTCTCTGTAGTAATTATAATATCATTAGTAAATTACTGGTACACTTTCAACTAAAATTGAACCTTTAAATATCATTACCCAGCACTTAGTTGTTGTTCCAAATGAATAGTTTTACGGAAATATTTAAACATTTCTTTGGAGAAGTGGCCTACACTAAGTCGCGAAACGTCAGAAAATCTAATTTTTCTACTCATTAGGATATTATAAATAAATTATTTATTTATAACTCATCTTACAATTCTAATCAAAATGTGTTATTATTAATGGTCAATACTTTAGGATTTCTAATATGTCTCTGATTGATTTCAGTTAATAATTTAAAGTAGTATCTACAAACTGTAACAAATATAAGAACGAAACATCATTGGTTAGAACTTATATCTTTTTTGGCTGTAACCATCTTTCATCATGACAAATTGAAGGGGTAATAAAAATGTTTCTTTTCTTAGATAATAGAATTGAAAAGTATATTACACTCCGCGATTTCCTTCACAGAGTTTTTCTATACAATCCAATATTACTATGACTGATACAAGTATTATTACCGATCTATTTAAAAGCAAATAAATTTCGTCATACAACAACACATTATTGAGAAGCTAGATTTGTAAGTTCCATAATGTACATTCTCAAGTACAATCACAAGCACCTTGATTATAATTACTGTGAACAAAGAGAGGCTAAAAACCACAAGCAATTTTTTAAGTGATATTTCAGTTGCTTTTTGTTCTTTGACTTAGAGGTTTAATCGCGAAACCTTGTTTGCCCCTCTGGACATCATCAGCACTTAATTCACTTGGAAATGACCTAATTATTCTGCAAGGACCAAATCGACCTTTCCTATGAATGGCTTATATTCTAAAGTTTTGTTGGCTTAATTCATGTTTTATCTGGTTGATATATGACATTGATTATTTGACGTTTTCTGCATAAACTGATAAATATAGTATATGTCGAAAAACCTACTGATTGAAGGGAAATCCATGTTTCTAGTAGTTCACTGACATTTTTCGAATTTCCTAGATTCAGAATGTCGACGATTTTCTGATGAAGCTTACATTTGTTGATTATGGGCATTGATATAAGTGGAAAAATCTTATATCGTTTTATATCTAGTTTAAATTTCTTTATCAATAGACAAAATAGTCGTTCACCTTCTCTAATGTAACGTATATAACTATTGTTACAATTTACTATGTAGATGATATTGCATTTGTACTTATAATAACCTAAATCTGTTTATTATTTTAGTTCATATATCAAATAACCCTCAAAAACAACAGCTAGGTTACACAAGGAAACAACCAATATTGTAAATACCTTGTCAACGAATGGTATAAGTATACCCCAATTATTGCACATAATAACAAACAATGACGGGTGATATAGGAGTACGTTTACGTGAAAGTTAAGGGTGGAAAAATTAAGATGTGGTACGAGCAAATTATGCCGCAGACTGTTGATTTAAGGAATGTAAACTAGAATGAGAAGAATTTAAGAAACATCAGCTTCACAGATGTATTCGGTCTCAATATTACCTCATACTAATTATTCTATGAATTTACTCATTCTTTTCGATATTTCTCAATGAGTAATCATTCGTACCATCTTTGGGATAGCTAACACTTCGTCTCATTTGTTATTAATCTTAATGCGCTGATACGGTACGACAACTATCTCAGATGTACGTTTCACTCAGGTCCTATATTCCCTATAAATAACTGACCGATCTTCCTGTTCAGTTATACAAATATGACCATATTAAGGGAACTAAAACTTTAACTGATTATTTAATTACCTTGTGTATTTTGTAGTTTTAAAGTTATTCAGTAACCATTACTATAAATGATACCGTCATCGTATGAAAACGTCCTTGCTCTAATTTATAATACTAGAATTCCTTTAATAAATCATGGATAATAAGTATACGTTTACTACAGACGTTTAATGAAAAAGCTACCTACATCTGAGTAACAAGTATAGTGCCGTGTTGCGTGCTACTTATACGGACAGATACAAGTAGTATGTTTCAAAAGTTGGAAGTAGGATTGTTACTGACAGAAGGGGAATATGTGTAAAAGAAAAAAGCAGCATCAGGAATGAAAAAACGATGGACCTTGCGAACGACCATTAGAGGAAGATGTCTTTACATTTTACAAATGTAGCGCGTGATTTTATTTAGAACAGTAAATTGGTTTACCCTACCGAATTTTTTATCATGACAGCGCTAGAGCGTAACAAAGTATAAAAATTTCCGAACTATTTGGTCGGCTATAAAAAAAGAATAACAATCAGTGTAATTGATGGACACATGTTTTCGCAATTACTTCTATGCGTATATACAAACCCAATACAAAACTTTAGGAAATACATTCAGAACTAATCTGCTCATAACCAGAAGATAACTTCTATCGTAGACTGCCACCTAGAGAGAAAATCTTTAAATTCCACAAAATACTAGACACTTATTTTGTGCATAATTATCGATTTTTCAGTATTTTACTCTTATTTTTATTGAACAAAAAGATATTATAACTAGAATTTATAAAGAAATTTTTAACAACTAGTAACATAATCCTAGTAGTAACGGTTGGTAAAATCTTATAATAAAAACTGACATTCCCATTATCTTATTACTATTTCAAACGCGATATGCGTTTCGTTTAAAATGAGGAATAGATTACCCATTCCAAGAGCTTTGTTACAATGATGTACTTCAAACCTTTTACAATATCATAATAACTATTAAGAACAATTTTTAGTCTTCCTTGACATCGCAATGAATATTCTCAAAAATCTTTAATTTTGTTCACAAATTTTGATATTGTTTTAGCCGAATATTACAATGAAAAACTATTTGGTACACAGATGTCACATCAAAAAGCTCCTTTTATCTAAATACGCCATTATGTTTTGTTGAAATGAAAAATACTCAATTATATTTTACTAATTAAAAACGTAACTCCGCCTATAGCTCTTCTAGGGTTACTGCCAGTCTTAAGCCCGGGTAAAGAAGGGTTAGGTATATGGGGTCAGCAACGACACCCAGGAGAAAACTTTACCAAAAAAAAACACGCTAACCAATAAGTAACTAAAGCCGTGACAAATAAAAATAATTAAAAGGGTGTTACAATCTTCGTTCCAGTTCTCTCTGGCAATTGTAGAATACAAGATGGATAAGAATGCAAAAGGAGCTTGATTTGAAGGGCAGAATAATAATGTACGCTGTCCATTGTTTCGGTATTCTTTCAATATGTTCTACTATGTTAAAAATACTTGATTTCGTGGAGTATCTTATGAATTCGTCATATTTATGACATACCGATATACAAACTAATACGTAACGATTTGAGTGAAGGAATAAAATAAACTTGACTGGAAATCAAGTGGATAAGAAATCTTTGTCAGTCATGCAGTTTTTGTAGAAACACTAAATATTCCACTGTTTTCTATTTTACTGTACGTTGTTAACGATTATTTTCGATAGTTGATAATTATCAATTGACTATTTTACTCATTATACAATTTTACGTCGTAGTTCATGAAATTACAACAGTTTTTTTTATGGTACTTGGTGCTATGAAGCCCATAAAACGTTTTACATGTTTGTTCAATTTATTTCTCTAGTTATCTGAAAACTTAATTTGCACAGTATTCTTAGTATGTGTACAAAGGTTCAGTTGAAACCAACTTAAACGACCACTAAAAAATTCATAACTTTCATATTAATTAGATTTCACAAATATTGAAATGCGAACTACTCTGTTTGGCGCTTCAAATGTATTTTTGCTACCTACTTTATGGGGAATATCAATTATTATTCAGGAATTATTCCACTGATTTATTTACATTCATTGAAATTTATCAATACCGACAAACTTGGTCAACAACATGTATATGAGACTACAGGATTATTTGATTTACTCTCGTAAAACCACATTCAATAAAACCTATAATTTCTTACGCAGAGATACCTTCTAAAAATTGCAAAGAGTAAGAACATTAATTTGAAAAAACGACAGTAAATTCACTCACATTATGTAGAGAAGTATTGCATTTAAGCTATTTGTTTATATTAATATCATTTAAACTTATAACTATAAGACATGATTAACAAATAACATAATACAACTAACATTAGGATGTGCACATAAGTGACGTCCATTGGTTGCTAAACATTCAATGACTCCAGTTCGTGATAAGGATATCAATTATTTATCAGTCCATGTTTATAGGAAACATTGTTATTATTACTTAGGCAACATGAATAACATTGACTTCAATCAAACAGAATTGAGAAAATACAGTTACACTAAAAATAAATCAAAGATCAACGGCTTTTGTAAAAAAACATCTATCAGTAGAAAGGAAGAAATTTAACGAGTTTTAAATTCCAGCTGTACAGGTAAACGATGTTTCAACTCCCGTAATGAATATGATGTACTTTGTGTATACATTTCCGATAAATTATTTCTAATACCTTTATTGTAGAAATTACGATAGGTACTGGTTGGATTTCGTCCACTTAATCTGTGATTCGACTTTAATGGTCGGTTTACGATAGAAGGCATCATTGTCCTTTCCGTCATCATCATCACCATCTTACAGTTGAATAATGAAGTAAAAGGAAAATGACGCTTTTTGTTTGTTGTCTTTCTACTCTTCTCCCTGTCATCATTACCATCATCATATTTAATTGAACAATTTTCACTAGCAATCAACTTCTTCCCTTGAAAATATTCATATGATGTACAATTGATCAAAATAAGCCAAATATGAAATGTTAAATAATTAATTAATAACATTACAGCTACAATTAATATGCCAGTTAACCCTATAACACGAGGAAATGTCATGAACAAGTGCTGAAAAAAACATCAAAGAGGAAATAATAACGATGATTATAATAACAATAAATTAACATGAAATAATAACCATTAATGATAGTTAGACGATAAATGTCAAATTATGTATAAGCCTTTTGTATATAGATGAGATTCCTTATTAATGAATCAAATGTAATTGAAACATTACTCATAGGCGAGTTATGTCTAAACAAAATATAGGTAATCAGTTATAACTGGTAAATCAGTTGAAGAAACTGTGAATCATATCTGTAACATGTGCTTCATAAATTCTTTATCTTTTAATTTTCAAAGTTCAATAGCAGTGTGCATAGTAGTAGATTCAAAAAAGATATTCCTGATTTCGATTAGCGAGGTCTTTGCAATTTATCATTGGTAATAATAGCTCAAAATTAATGGCAATAGCGAAGGTATATTTACCGTTTATATTCATCATAGAATATTTAAGAATTTCACACTTTCTCTTCTCTATGATTAACTTTAATCATCAGCTCTACGACAATTAACGTTCTAGACCAAGTTTTACTTTCAGTCTAAAAAAACTGGGGATCTTTATGTGACTCAAACCAAACAGATCAATGACAAAATGTTTAGCTGTTGCACTGTGACAAGGATTCAATTCTCAAGGGAGGTATAGCTCTCGTAAACACTGCAGATACACTTAGTAAGAGAATATCAAGTAGTATGGAAACTAGGTCACGCCCTTTTTATTCCAAAAACAAAACATTTAGTCAAATATATTTATCATGCATATTTATATGCGCTTTACTATACTATTACTGCTACAAATATTATCCTACTTGTAATAATGTTAACCAATCCATTGGGTGCATTTGATCATATTCATCTAAGTAATGAGCTTGCCATAAATTTTCATGCTGAAAAACAGAAATAGATGAGTGAATAGTGCAATGATTAACGCAAACAGATGAAATAAAAAAGATAAGAGGTTTGTGGAGATTATTTAAGATTAAGATAGCTGACGTTTAGACTGATAAACAAATAATAAACACAAAGAAGTACGGCGTATAGCCGTTTCATCCTATTTCGTTACTCAAAATATCAGTGGTAAACCACGAGCCGTGGAATTCATTTATGTTAGGAGTCAAACCTCTAAAATGGGATTTGATAATAGCTAAGTATTGATGTAAATAGACTTCAGTTGTGAACTAAAGTTAGTGTGCTGACCACTAGACCTTGTAATCCAGGATTCGACTATGCATAGGGAAATGGGTGCAACCTACCAGAGACAGAAACAACTGCTCAACAGAATTTGTTTACCAATTTTCGTAGACCAGTAATATAAAATATTTCTTACAATATTTTTGTTTAACATTGATTAATTAATATATTTCATGTATTTTAAACTTGTGAATCCTAACATATTTCCCTTTTTGAATAATAAGAGTATTAATTCACACACGTACATCCCGTTAACAGTGTGCAACATTTATTAGAAACTGGATATTACCAATGAATTATTTTTATCATAAATCACTGTACTTTTAATAAGAGGTTCATAATGGTTTTCAGCAGACGATAGTCAACAGGATAACAGACAGTTCCAAACAAAGTAGCACTACTGGAGGGCTACCATAACGGACCACGTCTTGAAATATGTACCAAGTTATCATTTCAGCTGTAATAAGCAGTATGTGAATATGTACGTAATAATGTCAACGATGTTTTACCTTCAGTAAAACAATAACTAATCGTTTTGCTGTTTCTACTTTGTAAGTTTGGATTTTTTATTTTTTTCCGAGCTGAACTTCACGACACCTATCCATGATCGTTCAACACGTACGTACTTAAACACATGTGATGTTCGCATAAAACAATCATCTTTGATTTCTGCCAAATAAATTTACCTTAGGAGATTTGTCTTTTTCAGTAGACGTAGCTAGGAAGAATCGTAGTACCCAAGTATCGTAATTAAAGATAGGAGCTTTTACGACCAGCTCAAGATATATCGAACTATCTGGTCTTCTTATAAACCAACCAACTAAAGGGGGCTATCATTACGTAAACTGGGAAAGGATTGTAAACAGGAAAAATTCATAACGATTAAGTAGTATTACACGTGTGTTCGCTTTTTGATGAACAATTCAAAGACCGCAAAGACGATTTATTATGTTGAATTCGAAGAGAGTTTGCTAAAATTGTTTAGAATAACTTATTAATTGAAAATTCTGATTACTGAGGACTTGCAGGAATGCTTCGAACAATAGAAACTGAAGTCAGACAAGTATCTTTAGAGTATTTTGAGAGGGATCGTAAAGTAACGTTATCACTATAGTTCGAGTAATCACTTGAAAGGAATATGATTTGAATAATCTATAGAGATTATGATTAAAATATTAACCTACAACAGAGAATAGATAAAGCATACGACAAGTTAACCACAAGGCATTGGCAATCATTAAGCATAAAGAGAATAAAAATGTTATGAAAAGCCCATGATTTTGACCACCAATACAACAATTTGTCCAAACACAGTGATGATCAAATCGAAATATGCAACGGTCACATCGAGCTGAAAAAAGAAAACGATGCGATGTTTTTTGACAAGAACAAATACATAAATCTGAAATATATCTAAGAAAAAACAAAATATTATTAACAATCACAATCTGGAAATCCCTAAGTGCCTAAAGTACTACTTAGCTACTTAATGGCTCCTGTATCAAAGCAGAGTGCCTTATTTAAAAAGTTAACTCCGAGTTAGAAAATGATCATTATCATCAAATTTATTTGGACAAAATATGAGAGATTTACTCAAAATAAGTTTACTCATATCGAAACATATGAAATGGTGGAGGTCCAAAAATAACCTTTACAAGGTGGAGGCATAAATCAATATAGAATATCAGTGTGTTAAAACGAAGCAAACTACTTACTACTAAAGCAATAGTAGTGAAACAATAAATCCCATTGTATATAATACCTTCAAAGGAACTGTCTAGGAAAACTACTGTGATATTCACCAAATATACCAGTTGGCTGTTAACTTTGTTACATTGGAGAACAATATTTTATAAATTAACTTTCATACTTCAGTATGCCGAAGTTTAGTTTGTTATAGGTTGCATTGCATGATACGATGTCTGACTTCAAATTTTAACTGTAAACAAAAATCATCCGTAGCATAATACATAAACACAGGTTAATAAGCACATATCAAAATTAGAATTATACATAAACACTTGATACGTGACAAACATGCACGATTCAACCAACATTAAAGTAACTGATCGGATTCCAATAACCGAGCTTAATGTTCTCGGAAGTGACTCAGTAAGAAGCCTTGAACCTAAGTTTGGAAGGATATTAACGGTTGCATGAACATTGTAGACAAGCCTTGGTAGTGAATGTTGATCAGAAGGGAACAAGGGCCATAGAATCTTTCTATTGATTGTATACAACCAATTGACAACAAATAAAAGAAACATTCATAGAATCATCTTTCTAAGCTAACAAAGTTACTATTTTCAAATGGTTAAAATAACCAGGTATTTTAAAAAATTTACTTGAAAATGAAAGATAAGCAAGTAAGAAATGAATAAAAGCAACAACACTTACAACAATGTTTAGATCTAGCTGGAATTATATGACAGCATATTGTGCATTGTTTGGGTGAATAAATAAAGTTATCATATTCATAAATATGTGCATAAACTGATTTATTTCGTGATGTTATAAAACCTACGACAAATAATTCATAGTACAATAAATTTTATTAGCTAAAGCAAAAGCATAAGTAAATATACTGTAAAATAATTTGTTTAAGAACTAAACTGGCTCAGGAAATATATAAGGCAGTACCTGTCTAATTGAATACCTGCTTTTTTCATTTTCATGAAATTTAAATAAATCATTAAATTTTTTCCTTGTTTTTCGGCAAGAACTTGAAATTGCGGGTTTAGTTTCCGTGAAGAATCATCAGATTAAGTATGCATTTGAAGAATTTTGAACTGGAAAGAAATCTGTTACTGATTTGTAACTAATTTAACAGACCGATGAGATTCCAATTTAAAAACATTTTTACTGCTTTTATGTTATATTAAAATATTTGTCAGTAGCCTAAAGAATACAGCTTTTAACCACTGAATTACAGATTCAAATCCCAACCCACCTCATCATCGAACTTGGGTTTGAACAGCTTCTCACAAAAACAGTGTGATTTAAAACCAAGTTAATAAATTCGTGATTGGTGAATGACTCGCTCTAAATTTAAGCATCATTGTACGAAATCTAACGTGAAAAAGTATGATAAAATGTGCCAAATACAAATGAGAGAATTAATTGTTTACTAAAGTAGAATCTAAATTAAATGATGAAGAGAAAACTTAGAATACAGTTGTATTTAAACCGCTTTCGTTGATTCGCATTCGATTCAATCGAACTATCTTGGCTAAGTGAAAATCCTACCACATTCCCAAATATTCCACTAAATATTTCTACGTTTAAAATCGAAAAACGAGAGTGAAATTCACCAGTTTAATGACTTTGAATAGTTTAAGCATTCAAAAAAACATCTTCCATCTATGGTTTAATCTCGAAATAAGTCCATATTCTCAGATTTGATCATTTAAATTATTTAAATTTTAGGAACTAACTGATTTTCATGTCGCTTCAAATGAGAACAACAAGAAGTCATTAAACTTGAAATCACTACTCGGGAAAACTAAAAGGAAATAATAATAATAACAATTACCTAGGAAAAAGTTGGAATATCTAAAGATAATTTACCAAAACAATAACTTCATAAACTTTTTACAACAATTCGAACAGAAACGATGAAGTTTATGGAGTTATTTCTTTGATGAATTACTTACTGTATTCTGTAACATGTATTTATGTACTAAATAGTTGTTTGATGGCATTTTTCTATGCAGTAACAAGTATCAACTTTGTTTAGATTCAATAATTACAGTTATATTGTTTTTCGCCGACAGAAAAAAATGACAATCAGTAAACTAATAAATGGGTCTCAGTAGCTAAGTGGATAAGGCGATGGCGTTTGAAGCGGACGATACTGGGTTCGAGTCCCGGAGTGAACATCAACTCTGAGATGCAGGTACATCCGGCTGACGAGTCCCAAATAGCACGAAACGCGCGTCAAACTGGATTCCACTGCTAGCCACTATCCATCTTTGCTTATAATGCTTGTAAATTAAGGTAATATCGAGGCGTACGCACAGTATGCACATATGCCAATAAGAGACTGAACAATTTCAGTCCTATACATCAATGGGAAGATTCGAATAAAACAATATCAAGTGAATTAATACTTGTATTTATTCACATGAACTTTTGTTCTGTTAATTTTAAGAGGTTTAGACTGACTTAAGAGAGACAATCCCTAAAAACAAACGAGCACTAGGCAGTACTACAATATATCACTATTACTTATGTGATGGCTGGAACACTGCTTAGACGTCCAAATAAAGGAGATTAGTTTCCTTAAAGAACTAATCCAAGAGCGTCTAATCTAAATGTCTAACCTATAAAGTTGAGGAGCAATATCAGGAAGTATAGTTTTAGTGGTCCGTTGATCTGGCCCCTATTTAGAGGACGAATGAATATGCCATGAACATAAATATTCCCTTTAACTGCGTATATTACATGTAGGTTAACCCCATTTGTGCGACGGCAGTAATAAGACAAATACGTGTTGCGTCGGATGAACTTATTTCATGAACTCGTTTATTTAAACAGACATTAACAATGAGAAGTGGGAAAGTGAAGTAAAGCGACAATCAAACCTAAGATTCCAAACACGCCAACTCCATTTGACAAAGCACAACTCAGTATTTATCGCCAACCAATAACAAGCCGAGGAAACGTGATGAGTAGGGTAATCGGTAAACACATACGATCATATAAAAACAGTTAAGGTTAATTGACAATGTCAAAATGTGACTCATAAAGAATGAGTATATCAGTCTGTCCAGAAGTTAGAATAGCGTATGAGGGCTTGACATAGAACTAGACACTATAAAGTTGAGTGTTAGCTGATGACCAGAGTACGTTAGCACCCGCCATCTGTTCCCTTACGCTAATATTCAAACTAATTTGGAATCAAGGTTTGTCGACTATCTTATTCGCACTCTTAATATTCACCAACCCAGTGTATACACTGATCGCTTTCCTACTTATTTACTTACTTACGCCTGTTACTCCTAATGAAGCATAGGCCTCTGACCAACATTCTCCAACCCACTTTGTCCTGGCCTTCTTTTCTAGTTTCATCCATTTCTTGTTCATTTTTCTCATGTCTATCTCTATTTCCCGGCGCAATGTGTCCTTTGGTCTTCCTCTTCTCCTTCGGCCTTGAGGATTTCATATGAGGGCTTGTCTTGTGACGGCCCCCAAATGCCCTGGTATGGCCGAGAGTGGGGTAAGCCCGCCCTCCCACTCGAAATACTCTCACACGGCCACGAGTATATAGCCTCTGCCAGGGAAGTCCTACTCACTGCCTCCTCGTGGCGGGGGTGTTGTTTACGAAAATGAGAGGACGAAAACCGAATGTCCGGCGATTTAACCGATCCCAAACCAATGGTGCACATGGGCTCCAGTATCCTCCGGGAACTAATGACGTGTGAACCAATCGTTGGTCACCGGCTACCGTTGGACTGCATCTCCTTACGATGCTCCACTGCCTCGTGGATCAGATCTTCAGGTCGAAGGCTCGGGGTGTGGCCCCCTAAGAAAACCATCTGCTTCGGTCTGGGCACCCGGTCAGTATCACAGCCCTCACACACAAATAAAATTTTGTATGGCGCATATGTATTTGGTGCCTCCTTGTACCAATATTTATGTGTTCAAATAAATAAATTGTCTTGTGACGCAGTTGGGTGCTTTCCTAAATGTGTGTGCTACCCACTTCCAGCGCTTCTTCCTGATTTCTTCCTCCACTGGGATCTGGTTTGTTCTCTCCCAAAGTAAGTTGTTGCTAATAGTGTCCGGCCAACGGATCCGAAATATTTTGTGTAGACAACTGTTAATAATTACTATCTACATTTAATAAAAATCACCGAGTTAAGTAAATCCACTGGGCAGAGATTATAAATGGATGACCGTATAAACGCATCTAGAAAGGAAGGGTGAGCTATCTTCACTCTCAGTCGTACAACAGCACTTAGAGTAATACAAAAAATACTATGACGAATACAAAGTACACAATACCAACCACAAGCAGTTTCAATAACTAACCTGGATCACTAAAACACAACAACATATATGACAGACCATTAAGGAATAAACATCCAGATCCAAGAAACAGATTGTTCTCCAGCCAGGAATACCGATAGAGTACAGTTATAACATCCATTATCAATATATAATGTCCAAAAATAATACAGCTTAGATAAACGACTTGATAAACACAATGCCTAGAAACAGAATAGACATAAGACATACATTAATTTGCATATTACTCTGTCTTCGTAGACAAAAAAGTTGCTTTACATGATGTGATTGACATTTTAACTAATAGATCTCCAATTCGTGAAATATACTATGTTATCCTATTTACTCGCGAGACAAACCAACATCTAAATCATTCTCAGACATTAACTAAACTCGAACTCTAGAACCATGAGAGTTTGTCCGGACTAACTTGGTGTATGACACATCCTTAAATACTCAGTAATATAACAAAATTGAGGTTACTGATAACTTTTATACCTCTGACACAGGCTATTGTGCTTACAACACACCTGGAAAGATAAAGAATTATAATCAGAAAGCCGTTTTGTGGATAATATAGTAATTTAATGTTTGAATTCATGAGTCAATTGAAGCTAAACCACAATAGAAAACCTAGAAGCACTGGATGGCCGTTTCATGTTAATATGGGACCCCTCAGTAATGTGCACCCACGACACGACACGCGAGACTCGAACCAAGGGTTAAAAAGTGGTATCTACTACAAACACCACACCAGGAAGCGGTGAATATCATCCATGAAGTTATCCCACATTTATAATATTCATGATTAGATTCTACACCGTCTACTCCCGTTTTCTTTCCTTTCATTGTTCGTAGATTAAAACACAAATGTAACGAAACTGAAGTCATATAACGTATACAAAGACGAACTTATTTTCTCGTAACATCAGTTTTTCTATGACTTGAAAGTTGAACCACCTTATAGTATCAGAAATTTATAATAATTTCCTATGTTAAGATGGTGCTGAAAAATCCATTAGATTTCTGGATATACGGTAGAAGCCTTGGTGGACTCCACTATCGATGTTACAGATATGTCCTCATACTTAACTTTTTTCAGTAAACTAAATCCATTAGTCTACCTCTCGGCTCACTACAGTTCACAACGGCAACAATGGCCTCCATGAAAAGGTGTAGACGAACAAACAGTACGTCCTAGCATGTACCTTTTAGGGCAACTGTGTAGTGTAGAGCACATACAATTATGCATCCACACCACTTTACCGACATGTTTATACGATTGATACGGTAATAACAGCATTATTCTTGTTAAACTAATCTTATATTATGTACTATGAAAGCATGTTTCTTATGGTTATGCATCCAACGTACGCTTAATATTTCACATGATTAGTAGCTTTGTTTTAAGTGTCTAGTTTGAAACACTTCAGTGTTAAGTAGAACTTTTTGGTCCTACGAATGAGTTTTTGGATTATAAAATGAATGAATTCAACGACAATCAATTGATGGTATGCAGTCATATCAAGCAGCCGAGTGATGGCTACCCACGAGATCGAATTATTGTTATGAGCTCCCAATGAAATGATATTATGTGGCAAGACACCTACCCAGTAGAATTGGCTTTTTCTTTTGACATAATAACACCCCTGTATATTAAATTTGAAACACGAGAATGGATATTTAAAAAATAGACAATTTAAGGACGTGTCAATTATAGGCCATTCACTCCTTAATAGAATTAGTACCTAACTATCAGGGTTAATTGTCGCGCTGTTATAATATCCGGAAATCAAGATCTTTTAAAAAACGTACACTTAATTATTATTATCTGATAGCATGTGTCAATCATGCCAAATTATGAGTGATAAATGTTGGCGAGGTCCACTCTATTGTTTAAAGGTCTGGTTTAAGTATCCGAGGGAAACAGCTATATATTTATGAATGAGTTTATGTTTGTATTTTAATTAGGATAAGCTAATAAAAGCTTACAACTAGCTCTTCATTTTTTCACTGAAGTAGATGGTTGGACTCCCAAATAGGAAGCGTATATATCGGTATCAGAATCAGACGACCGCTCAACACATTACTTAACAATTAGTATTAACCTGATCATCCCTATTAACTGGCATACCATATATGTTCATTTTCAGAATATATTATCATTACTATTATTAATGGAGTTATAAAAACTGAATATATAATAATCTCAATTAGCTCAAATACTTGTATATGAATATATACATGACCATTGATTTATAACAATAACAAGCATAAATATTAAATTCTAAGAAATACACAATAAATAATATTTGGATTACAAAAGATAACTCCATATAAATTAATTGAATTGAGCAGAATATGCGGTAAACTGTGTTTCGAATAATAAGACTTATTTTTTTAAAAACCCTTATACCATACTAAACATCGGTACGTAACATTCATAGTCATTGATACAATTTAGTTTTATTATCAACCTAATGGTTGTCAAACCAACTTTATCATCTTTATCGTCCATGCTAGCCATATTTGACTTCAGTAATGAACTAGATTTTGAACAAAACGCTTTCTTTCTTCATGAGAAATGAAAATCTAAATTAATAATAGTTTCATTTGCAAACAACTGACACATCTGTGCATCGGCCCAACTTGACATAGCAAATCACCAAAGTGAACATCAAAATATTAACAGCATTGAGAGTAAGCAAGACTAGGCATAAAATATATGATTTGATTTAGTTTAAGAAATCACTTTTGAGAGTATCTCGTTGACGCATTTATCATTTTTGAAGCAAAAGTTTAGAAATATAGTTTATGCCTTTATGCAGCTCATATGAAAAGAGTCTTGTCTATATATAGAATAAAGGAAAACAAAGAATGACTGCAACTATGCCATGTCACTCAACTACTTCGAACAGTGGTTACAAGTATTGTAGTAACAGTCATTGACTTTATAGATTAACACCACGCCATAACTTGTCCAACTTTAGCTTTTGTTATAACCTAACTCTCGTTTCATCTAACAGTGCACGTTAGGATAGGCCGTGGTTAGGCATGCGAAACACATGTATTGTCCACCTCAATCGATGAAAATTGATAGCAGCATCAATGAATATACTGATAAATAAGTACATATAACTATATATACGAATGTACAGCTTAAGTAAATGATTTCGTCGAAAAGAAGATTTTCTTCGCTGAATTCTCTTTTTCTTTTTCAACAACACTATGGGTTATTTTAATTATTAGAAGATATGTTGGCGATATTCTCTCTTTAGTAGCATGAATGTAAAGTGGATACGTTGTTTCCAAGTGTTTATAGAGAGAAGAGGATATATTGGGTAAAAACATAGAGACATGTGTAGGTTATCGTAAAATGATACTTCAGATAAATAATTAACGTTGTATAGCTATTTAGATGTTTGATACTCAAGTGAAATGAAGGTCTAGTTAAAGATCAGTTGAATGCATTCAAATAAATCGACTAAACAATATTTTTTTATTTTATTTGATAGGATTAATTATCATCACAGATCAACTATTTCTAACCTCCAGCATAGAATGTTTAAAGAAACAGGGTATCATATATTCTCTAATAGTCTTACATTATATATCTATAGTGAATGGAATTTCGTTCGGACACCTTCACGAGATACTAATTTTATTTTCCTATTGAAGTGAGAGTTTTCAGTCCTTACTTTGTAAATTAAAGGCCTGTTCAACTTATTTATGTTTGGTCAGTTGAGTAATATTACTATTTAAATACACACATACATACACAAACATTGCAGTTCAAACTGAGTACATAGATCTACTATTTGGCAAATAACTGACATTGTGTTAAAATCAATTGTAATTCTATTTTACAGCCAAGAAAGAACAAAATAAACTAATCACAAAAGTAATCACAATAATCTGTTTTTAAAATGAAAAAAATGTTTATGAAAATGTACGTATGTGTACATGTGTAAGAAGAGATGAAATCCACCCAGTAAAGAAGACAAAATGTGAAATAAGATAAATTATTATTTGTAAGCAGTTTTCTGGGTAAATAATAATAATAATAGTAAAACAAAACAAAACATTCCTCTGTGGAAAAACATCAAGAGAGATAAAAGCAATAAAATATTACTAAATAATTTAGAAATAAAATAATAATAATAAACAACTAAAGACTATAAAAAAAATAACAGAATGAATAAATTCTCCCGAAGGAAATAAATGAATCAAATAATATGTATCCCTATAAGGATGTATAAACGAAGTAGAGTAAATTTTAAATCAGAGTCAATAATCAATGCGCCTAGCCTACATAGTGACAACAATTAATTCAAAGGTGATAATAATATAATCTGTTCTGAAAAGAAAATTCAGTCTCATATACTGATGATTATTAATTATAGGTTTTTCCTTTTATAATTTGTAAATATGAATGTTATTCAACTAAAAAGTGTCTGAAATGTATCCCAACGATGAACTTTCTTTGCATTCTTTCACAATATGCTCTAATGGATAAAACAATTTTTCGTTGAAACATTCTGTGCATACACGTGTCTAAACTTGTGACTTCTTGATTAAAGACCAAATGATTTAACTACTAAACCATTGGGAACAGTTCATACTATTTATAACTACATATAATCAAGACGTCAAGAGTTTAGAGCTCACCATTCATTTGCTTAAGTTTGAACACCATGCCTTTGTTATGGATTTTGATTCAATGAATAACCCATAGTTCAGTGATTGTTAAAGTGGATTAATAGGATGCCGATCACAAAGATGAACGCAAAGATATGAAGTGACCAAGTGATAATTACTCCTGAAACCCCATTACTTATTCAACTTCTTGAATGAACTTATATTAAAGACAAAATCACTAGCCAATATAGCAGGGTTTTTCATCAACAAAATTCTATACTTATATATAAAAATAATAAACGTAAAATAAATATGATTAAACATGAATGAGATTTAAACTATTGGAAGATAAAGGTTTCGTAAGTGCCAATGAAATTAAAACGTAAATATCAGGTTTAATTTTCATCTACAATATCACTTGATTTCACTAAGGTAATTCATTATGTAACTCGTCTGCCAAGTACACAATTGTCTACTCAACTTTGAAACACACTAGATGTGTAATAGCTAATCATACTAAGACAGATTAAATCGAAGTAGAAAGATAAGAACTGAACCATAATGGGCATGCTAACCGCTAAGTCACCGCTCATTGGTCATTATCATTACACTGAAATATAAACAATTAAGACGAGAAATACTACTGAAAATCAACAAAAAAGTAACAGGAACTGGTAAATAAAACAATCAAAAAGGAAGCTTTCCATTTATTACTATTTTAGGCCATATTTAAATTTGTCCTGATTTTCTTCATGGAGTTGAATTATTATTGAAGAGCATAAATAAACAGGTAGATATTATTGAAGCAATGACCACATTATAAAAATGTCAATTAACTGATGAGCATGTTAGTCTAAACAGTGAATAAATACGATAATGTAACAGACCAAAATAGACATTTTATATCAATAAAAGGGAAAAAAGTAAGATAAATATGATGAAAGCCAACCAAATAAACAGATGAAAATAAATAAACAAATAAAGTCAGTAACAGATTTCTTTATTTCTAGGTTTGGGAATATAATACGGTAAATAATTTAATACTTAGAACATATTCTTAGTAATAAGAAACACTTTTGAATATGCAATTTACATCCAACAAACTGTTTAACAGACAAAGTGATTGCTTAACTATGGTATTCACTTTTACTTTAATAGTACCTAATTGTTACATAACCAGTTTAGAAAACAATCAATTAAATACAACCAATGACAACTTTCATCTGTATATATGGATGTATATGGATGATATGTATATAGATGAAACTGTTAGTATTTGTGATAAGATATATGATTTGAATAATATTCTACAAACATTTAAAAGATATTAACGAAAATTAAAATTTATTCTTCGAATGGAAAACTATCAATATGCACTTTGTTGATGTTCCAATATTAAGAAAATCTGATGAAACTCAAAACACCAAAAGTAACAATAACTTATCTCAAAGATGTTTTACATGAACATCATTTCTAGACGTGAAAAGGCTGCAAACATCTTAAAAAGAGCAATTTCGAATACTCTCAAAGAAACTCTCTTCTCAACTCGACCTAAGGATAAGCTATTACATCTGACTATTTCACTGTGTGTTTATCAAGTCATCCACTCCTGTGACGTTAAGCTCATGGAACGTTTGATATGCACTTTAATAGAAATAGTTCAAGAACATTATCTCGTATAGTTAAAAATAGCCAGTAATGAATCCATAAAAAGCCCAATAACAGAATATTTTGCAAATCAAGATCATCCAATCAAAATAGAGCAAGTATTCGTGGTCCTTTGCAAGGTAGGTGGAAATCTGCTAAAGGTAATCATGTCTGATCAACTTACCATTCCTGAAACTTTTTCTTAGATTTAGAGAAACCAGTGCTGCATACAAAAGAAACTAATTCAATCTCTTCTTCAACCATGATCAAAACTTCCAATTTTTTGGAAGCTATCGCTATCTCCCTCTTTTCTACCATACTGACTCTTTTACACACAACTGGCTTAGTCTCAGTTTCCATGACTGTATATTATTGCAGTGTCGACATTCATCATGTTATGCAATCCATTTCCACAAAATTTAATCATCACTTAACTGCCATGATATTCTTGACGAACATTCAAGATCTCAACAACTAGACCTTCAGTCTCTAAAATAAAAATAAAATTTTATATATTCTGTTCCTTTGTTGCTACGTTGAATAGATTGTCTCTATCACCAAGACACATATTATTAATTATCATTGTGACAATTGTATATATTCACAAATCCACAGGTTTGAGAAGAGATTCGCTGAACCACTCTTTTCTGTTTCACTTCTAAATGGATGTACTCCATTTATGTACAAATTAACGAACCGATCGGCAGTCGTTTTTCATGAATTTATAGTGTTATATTATGTCATGCTTCTCTAAGGTTATTCGCTTCTTCCAAATTAAATTTCTCATATTTAGTCGTCCATCACTTTTCTTAATAACATCTCACGTGTTATTCAGGCCAATTCACTTTTTTCCAAGTCATACACCGTTTGGAATTGCCTGTGAAAAGCATCAAAATCCATTTCAAGTCATTTGATTCCATGTTGTCTTAGATTACCTTCATTCCTTCCTATGCCTTTACGTAATTTTATTTCATTATTTATGCGTCTCATATCTATTACGGTGCCCATTTGTACTAATATCTGTCTTTTCAATAAATAATTGTTGAAAATGTAACCGATAATCTCAAAAGTTATATATGAATCTATGATCAAGAACAGATTGACTACCTCTGGATTGTGGTTAATACCTATGATTGAAATTCAGGCACCAATCACTTTAATCTACTTTATCCATTCACAATGACAACGACTTATAATTCAAGTATAAAAATCAATTATAAACGGAATAGAAATTACCTCTCAAATAAGAACCAAATGATTGTTTCTGAAATCATTTTTCTGACCGCAAATGGTATAGTTACCCAGATTACGGACACTGGTTTCAAAAGTATAAATTTTAAAACGTGTCCCATCATGGTATGACGTAGACAATAGCATAATAAAAATCCACCAGAAAAGCTAAGATATAATATGATATTTGTTAAATAATCCATGTAAAAGATGATATCAGGTAAACTCAACTAACAGTAGAAATCTTCAAATTTTCAAAATTGATAGATATCTAAAATAAGAATCATGAGATGAGAAATTATTTATTTAAAAGGAAAATTTAGAAAGAAATCGATTAAAGTTGCTCCTGAAAATACACTAATAACTTAACTTTACTATCGGGAAAATTATCTTTGGAAAAAATTAAATATAAAAATTCCAGTGCATATGTAATAGATTTGAGGTGGAACCCACAAGAAAAAATATCATCGTATCTCACAAATAGTACTTATTAACAAATAAGTAGCCAAAGAACATTTTAAGGTTTACTTATTTACAGATGTTACCCCTTTTGGAACAGCAGCCCGCAAATGCCCTGGTATGGTCGAAAGTGGGGTAAGCCCGCCCTCCCTCTCGAAATACTCTCACACGGCCACGAGTATATAGCCTCTGCCAGGGAAGTCCTACTCACTGCCTCCTCGTGGCGGGGGTGTTGTTTACGAAAATGAGAGGACGAAAACCGAATGTCCGGCGATTTAACCGATCCCAAACCAATGGTGCACATGGGCTCCAGTATCCTCCGGGAACTAATGACGTGTGAACCAATCGTTGGTCACCGGCTACCGTTGGACTGCATCTCCTTACGATGCTCCACTGCCTCGTGGATCAGATCTTCAGGTCGAAGGCTCAGGGTGTGGCCCCCTAAGAAAACCATCTGCTTCGGTCTGGGCACCCGGTCAGTATCACAGCCCTCACACACAAATAAAATTTTGTATGGCGCATATGTATTTGGTGCCTCCTTGTACCAATATTTATGTGTTCAAATAAATAAATCTTGGAACGGCATATGATGATCAATAGCATTCTCCATCCAACACTGTCCTGGGCAATCCTTTACAGTTGCCACTCATCCTTTTCATGTCTATTTTCAATTCTCGACGCAGTGTTATTTGACTTCCCTCATTTCTTTTTTCTCTTCGGGACCCCAAGTTAGGGCTTGCCTCACAATGTAGTTTGGTGATCTCCGTGTCAGTTTCTTCGTTGTCATATAGTTGTTTCATGTTTCCATCTATTGCAACTTTTACCGCTGTAGCTGCTAGGTCCTTCACGTATTTCTGATTTTCCACCCCAATGCTCCTCTGCACTCTCTTGTTTGCTTGTGTATGTTAAGCTTGTGCCATGACTATTTCTGTTCTTGTTCGATTGTTGTTAACTGGAATCATTTTGTTCTTCCTCTCATGGATATCGTCCAAGGTTTCCATAGAGATCCATTCTTGATAATGATGCATCTTGTGGCCCAGAAACTCCTGATACGTTGAAGTTAATGCTCATTTGGTAGCTTTCCACTTGTCTTCCATAGCAGTTTCTTCTTCCTTCAGTAGATCCTGGAAGGCTTGGAACCTGTTGTTGAAAGCTATCTTGAATTCATTGGGTTTGTCAGTATCTTGAAGGAAAGCTGTATCAAACCTTTTTAACGCTCTTTCTCCAGTTGTCCAGTGCTTCTTTAGCTTCAGTTTCATCTTGACAACCACCAGGTGACGATCTGGAACTATATCAGCTCCTCTCTTAGTTCCCACTCCTTCCATTAACCTTCTGAATTTTTTAATGATGGAAATATGATCCAAATGGTTTTCTGTAGAGTGATCCTGTAAGAAACATGTAGCTTCGCGCATACGTTCGAGGGGGGAATATAATACCCTCCCATAACCATTTTGTTGAAGACATATGAATTTGTGAATCTCTCGACATTCTCGTTCCTTTCTCCCAGTCAATGTCATCCCATGAAATCTTCATATCCAGTGTTGTTTATTCTGACTGACGTTTAGATCTCCCATCAGAATGGTCAGGTCCTTTTCAGAGCACTTCACTATGATCAATTACAGCCTCTCGTAAAACTGGTCTTTATCGTCGTCATTGTTATCATGGGTGAGTGCATAACACTGGATAACATTCATTGCGATTCTCTCCTTCTTTGTTTTGAAAGCTACTTTGATGATCCTGGATCCATGAGATTTCCATCCTATGAGTGCATTACGTGCTTCTTTCAACAGCATCAGGGTAACTCCCTGAGTTTGCGGAGCATGTTCTTCTTCGTGACCAGAGTACAGCAGCATCCCACCCGAATCTATCCTTTTCCATCCAACTTTGGTCCAGTGGGTTTTACTGATTCAGAGCACTGCCAAATTGTATCTCCTCATTTCCGTAACTATTTGATTGGTCCTCTCGGTCTCCCACATTGTCAGGACATTTCATGTGCCTATATTAATTGTTGCTCCGGTTGTTAGAAGGGGCATCGGCATCGTGAATTCCGAAGAACCTCGGCTTTCACCATGAGGCGTCATAATTCTTCTGAATGATGATCCTTCAACTCCAAGGGCAGAGTCTAAGTGGTTTGAAATGTTATTCTGGTTAGCGATTTTTTAGTAATGTTGGTTTCTATGCAACGGGGTTGCCGACGCCATGCCCAACCCTCCTCCTTTATCAGGTCTTGGAGTCGGCAGTAACCCTAGAAGAGCTATGGGAGGAGTTAATTTAGATTTAGCACAAAATTAATGTGAGGATATTAAAAGACAAAATGGAACGAACTTGTTAGACAGCTATATAATAAAAAAATATGAAGCCCTAAATAACTGGATAGCAGCTTACAATAGATGCATATGAACATTATATGTTCTGATGCTATCACTAACAAAACAAGTAACACAGCACATAACATTATTTTCAAGATCGCGTAGATGGGTCATGTCTCTCAGTGGAATGTACACCCAGAAGTAAGTCATATAATCACCAATTCAAATACTCGCCACTGTTTAATCAGACATTATACAACAAAATCATTCGGAAAATACGTCATGTTTACGAATGAAGTGCATTTTTATTTCCATACAACAGAACAGATCGTAAGCAACGTAAACACACACATTGAAAGAATTTAATTCACTTAAAGATCAGTTCATGACAATTTAACTCAATTCCATTGAGCTTCATATATATTACAATAGAATAATACAATGTAGTGAATCATTTGGAGTAGTTAATAAAATATTATTACCATGTATTTAAGCTATTCAGAATGACATAATATTTCAGAGATTGTTCTTACTGTTACGAAAATTAAAAACCCACTTGGTATGTATAGATGGTAAACATCTTAATTCTGCTTTTTTTATAATAATCTCCCAAGAATTGGGAATAAATTCGAGATTCAATGACAAGCTAATAAGAAATGAATTGGTTATATTTTCCCAACAATGATAGGTTTTTTTCACTACTATATTTGTTAGAACGTAAACACGTGAAATTTTAAATGAAACATTGCAAAACAGAGGGAAATTCGTTATCCTCATCTTCACAAAAACAACACGCCCAATTAATAACAAAAGATCAGTAAATAGAATGGATGGATGATAGATATGATAAACAATATCGAGTTTGATAACAAAAGTCAAACAACTCACTCAAACATGCTGATAGACTGTCACTTTCCATACTTCAATTTTTATCCTAAAAAAATCGTCTTATCTTGCAGATAATGTAAAAGTGGTCGGTAATTTCATAACCAACTTAATGCCAGGTATATATTAAATTAATAATGTAACCAAATGGTTTAGTCCTGTTGCTCGTAACAAGCAATCAGAAGCCTGTGACCGAAAACTTGTTTTAGTACTAGTTAGCAAGATGTTCTTGCAATCACGACAGAAAGAAATAATGTCCTCTGAATGATTCGAACAAGTGGCATGCAATGAGCTGATTAGAGATATTACCACTGAACTATTCAAGCTCCAAATTATTTATTGGTTCAGAAACGAGAGCAGTAAACAAGCCGTCACAATCAACAGCACTTTACAAACAAGTCATTTCAATAACATATAAAAGATTGTGTAAAAATCTTAGTTGTATAATGTTGTACTAAAAAAATTGAGTGTTGCACATAGTAATACACAGAACGTTTCGAAACTACAATGTTTAATGTGAATTTAGGATTTTCTTGCTGAACTGGAAAACAACTGATGTTGCAGATCCTTCCATGAACGAAAAAACTAACATTTACTCTTTATGTCTGTTTCTCGTAGATTCTTACGATGACATTGAAATTGTTGGCATGGATCTGAAACAATATATCATTCCGCCTAAACTAATCGAAGCTTTCAACTCATCATACTATTTTTCCATTTAATTAATTTCATATTAATTTTCGAAAATAACGCACATGTGAGAACATATTAAACACTTTAATGATAAATGGTTTTATTATTTGTTTCACAAAAATCATTAAATCGGTATGATGAGAGCCTAAATACTTGTTCATTAAAGACAAAATGACGTACCCTCGTAATTGAGAAATTCAGATACAAATAAATGGTGACTACAGTCATGTTTATTAGTAGCTAGCATCATGATATTGCACAGTAACCCTGAAGAACAACTATGTATGGTAATGAGGAACTTACCACTGAAGCCACTATAGATGATGAGTGTTCAATATAACGAATTGATCAAAGTTGGGAATGTGACCCATTGCATTTAAGGTACTGTTTGGAGGTAATTGATAGAAAACTCTGGACCTAGTTTTCATACTTGGCACTCGTCAATAAGGTGTCTGTAAAATTAGAGAAACTGATACTTTCAGGTGGGTTCTACCGCACGTTGATCTCCTGTTATGTCTCAACGTAATATTCGCGATGTTCAGTGGCTTAGACTGGTAACCAGATTCGAACTTAATCGATGAAATTCGACCAGAAATAAGGACTTGATTTACATAACACTAGTTACTATTCAATGATCAACCTATTATAAACCAGTCCACCTAAATTCTAGATTGAGGTCATGAACCGATTAATGTTAGACCACCATTGAAAACCTGGAAGCACTGGACGGCCGTTTCGTCCGATTGTGGGACTTCTCAGTAGTGTGCATCCACGATCCCACGGGCAGGATTCGAACCCAGGGCCTTCAGTCTCGCGCACAAACGCTCAACCTTTCGACCACCAAGCCGGCGTTCAACCGTGTTAATGTCTAACCTCAACCAGTTCACGAAACTGCGCGACCATCTTCCATTGCGCTGCGGTAGATACCTGTCTCTACTCAACATGGATGAGCTCCATTGGTCACAGCTTCTAACTAGAATTCCGAGATTCCCCTTACGAAGCTAGTCACTAGTGAGCACATGGTAATTATCAGCACAGAGTTGTGGAGATTATTAATTTTTTGACTGAGACCATGATTTCAATCAAAAACTTAATAATCTCCACAACTCTATGCTGATAACCACCTAAATTTACAGTGCCTGACTGCAGCTAAGTTAATACAGGAGCACTGCCGATGATTCCCCTTCAACAAGGATGTAACAGTTATGCAGTACTTTCTGTATGTGCCAAAATATATTACACTTACGAAAAAACAATCAGTAAAAAAATACGTCTCTCACAGTCACTAAGGTGAGAGTGGATAAAAAACTCAATTGAAAAGCCTTGCAAACATCTGATTGACAAACTCTAAGCAACATATTCATAGCACACTCTAAAAATATGGTTAATTTTATAAACAGACCGTTTACTTGTTTGTTTTACTGTGGTAATCAACAATAAAACATCAACTATAATTTATTCCTACTACAACATTTAGAATTATTAAATCAAAGCAAAATATCGTGAAACTTTTTGTTTTTAGCACAAAACATGTGATTTTGCTGACACACATGTTAATATAAACTACTTCGAGGCTATCTTTAAACAAATACCCATGTTTTCATAGCTTCATTGAAACAACTGATACCCAAAATAAAGTTATTTGGTTTTACATACAAACTAATAACTTAAATTCATACACATGTACTATTACATAGCTCACATATTAAGCACAGAGTCGGGTACCTCGTTATAAACGACATTTCAAGTGTTATGGTTCAAATTAAGTAGAAGCGTGAGTCGGACATGTAGCTTAAGGTACATTCGTCAGTTGATTCACAAATGCGACAGAGAAACTATCGATCAATCCTTACTGAAATAAATCTGGAATTAATTATATATGTAATAATTCAATTATGCTTATTTCGAAGTTCAAAGCTATCAAAATGGAACCCTTACTTAAGTAAAAATATTATATCGTTTACTAGACCTGAAAGAACCCCAAACTAGATGCACTCCATACATAAATAATTTTAAAAACAATAAGAATACCGTATAATTCATCATCACAAACTTATTTTAAAAAAAAAAATAACGATATGGTTATAATACTCTAACAAATAGAAAACTGAATTGTTGAAGCTTCGCAAAGTAGTGTAGATCGCGTCTTTAACGGATAAATATCCGAATCTAATGGACACGAATTTAAATAGATTACACTTAAGTATTACATTTTTCACACGAGCATACACAAATATCTCTCACATAATATTTAGTTATCTATTCGCTGAAGAAACGATATACACAAAGTCGCTACGCTTTTATGTAATCATTATAAACGATCTATTTAGTGCTGAATAGATATGAAATTATCAGGTTAAATCTTGATACACATATTTGTGTGAAAAAGTTACACATGCGGTTTGTAAAATAAAAAAATATAGATTTATTCCGTCCACATTTTTATTTCGAATACAATGATAAAAAAAGATAAACATTAGTTTCGGCAAAAACAAAAATGAAAAAAACTTATAATTCAAAGCCACTTAGAATATTTAATCCTGACGAGTTAAGAAATAATTCGGATAGAAACGTAAACCAATCTCGCTATCATCACGACAAATGAGACCGACTTCTTCAACTGCCAACAATCTTGCCTTCGCCAAAAAAGGAGAGAGGTTTACTATATGAGCAAGTTCATCTACTGACAAACTAATGCGTTTTTCCACTAATTCTACGGTAGATTTCAATGTTTCTATTTCGTCTTCAGATGCCAGCTGAAGAACCTAAAAATAAATAAATATAGTTGGTAATCAAAAAACAATTTATGTTACTAGAAAAATACATAAAATAAACACTTTAGGTTTTAACTGTAAAAAATCCTATTGGAAATATAAAATAAATTGATATAGTTTGACTATACAGTGAATAACATTTGTACTCGATTCTTTAACATTGAACAAAAGTTCTTATTTTCTTTTCGGCTTTAGCTAGTCAGAAAAAAAGATAACTTGCTCAGCAAATTATTGATCAAGGAGATCAATGTACATGATATCAAACAAATAGTTCTTACATAAACACAAACATATTTATGGTGCTATTGGGTGGAAAGCGTCTTCAGCTACATTAAATATGAAAACACTACGTGCACAGAAGATTGGCAAGAAAAAAGTCAAAACAAGATTTCAGAAAAAGAGCAAAATAACAAACGCAGGAACGGTCATTTTAGACTTGACAATAGAAACTAAATACAACTTCAGACAATCGTATATCTTGAGTGGTTGGATATAGTCGACTGGAAACCCAAGTCGATCTAAATTTTGCGCTAGTCAACACTCATCAGCAGCGTATACTTACAATCTTGATATAAATTATGTGTATTCCACAAGCAACCAGAAGCACGAACAATAACAACAAGCACAACTAAAGCGTATATACAGAGCATACAAATGTCCTTGGGAAACGTCACAAAATAGCATATTAAAACAGACAACGAACAAATAACATTCAAGGTCTTTCCAAGTGGGAAATACGATGTGAAGGTGAAAATGGGTGCTTTCGGTACAAAAACAAGAAATTCAAATAAATAAAACTGCAAAAATAAACGTTTACCAAGTGAGTTCTGGGGATCTAGCATCCCCAACACATTCCACGGTAAAATCGTATGGAACTAGTAGACGAATAGTAATCTATAGGGATAAAACGTGCAAAAGTCTTCAGCTTACATAAAAGCATTGTATTAAATTTATTTAACGGTATTACTATCGAGTTATGAAGATCTAGGAATTGTTTCACAAGAACTAAACCACTTGTTATATGAAATTACTCACTGGATAACAAATCCTAGAGCAGGAATATTCCATTCGAACGAAACAAAAGTAATTTTAAAAATTCACAAGCTGAACAATAGTAATATTAATAATAATAATAATTACACCAACAGACAAAATACACCTACTAGAAGTCCATTTGCATAGCCCTTCAACCTTATGGGTAATTTTTCCTTATCTAAATAACGACAGGCTCTAAGCAAATCTTCCGGAGATATTAGATCCATACCTCGTGCACGATTAACTCGACAATAAGCTGTTGCTAAATCAATACAACTAGTATGTAGGCGATCAGCTGAATGATCGGAACATTGACCTTTTAGTAATGGAAACAGTATACTTGATATTTGATGAGCTAACCGAATATAGAAAGTCGTACCGCTGAGTGATGATGGTGATGAGGATCCTCTGTCATCGCCATCATTTACGACTTCTACAACTCCCATTGACAGCATGGCCGAACGTAGTTCAGCGATTTCATTAGCTGATAGATCACTACCCTGAAGAAAAAGATTGAGGCAGAAATTAACTGATTAACAAGAAGAAAAATTAATGAAAACCATATGTTAGAAACTAATCTATGTAACTGTCAGTCAACATTGAAATTAATGAATGAGTAAGGAGATCAATCATATATTATTCTATGCAAACTCAAAAAACACTGCTTAGGTATAACTGATAACATGAAATAGAAAAGTGCTCCTTAGATTACAAACTACGACGTAATTATTTCTTTAAAAAACATATTTTATGTCGAAACTCAGTACTAAATATCAAACAAAACAATGGGAAAAGACGAATCTTTACAAATGGGAAGAACCAAATATTTTGTTCACACTTTAAAAGCAAAAACACACCCACTTTTGTATCGCGAACTTTTTTAGCCAACAGACGACTTAATTTAACCATTTCACTTGCGTTGTTCATAAGTTGATTCAAATCTTCAAAGGCCTCGGTAATATTACGATCAGTTTCAACAGCACGTGCAGCTTGTTGTCTTTGAATTGCACCAATACCTCCAGTACCAAACGACTTGGATGTCAATTTAAAATCTGAATGATAAGACAATGTCCACAGTTTTACCTAGATTTATAACGAAAAATTCTAGTTGTTTTTAAAGTAAAATTTTAAAAAAGTATTCCATAAATATTAAGAAAACGTCTGACTTCATAGTCAAGATGTGTTTACTACTACATGACAATCATAGCAAAAAATGTCAACTTTACAATTATAAACATAGCCTCTTTTAGTAAATTTTAATTCACAGTTAGCACAAGTGTAAAAGTGTAAATTCAGATTCATACAATATTATATTAAACCGATTACAATTTACTAACCCTAAATAAGACAAGTTCAAAAATATATTACTTCGTAAATGTACCTTTAGAACTTCGTTGAGAGACTGTAGAAATTCATGATGCCCAGCCGTCGGAAAGCCTAGTTTGACATGATCTTCTTTTGAATAGCTGACAACTGCAGTCGCACTAAAAGTGATACTGTCAATTCCAGAACCAGAACCTCCAACACCTTCACACCAGTGTTCAATCCACTGCGGAGGATTCGGCAAACTTGCCAATACATTTTGTAGCGCTGCTACAGTTAACAAACGAAGAATCAATTTCGGTGTACGGCTTACAGTTAGACCACCACCACCCTCCTCAACCTTTACAGAAATTATAGCAGCCAATGGAAGAGCTATAAAAGAACTTGTCAGTGCTAAAGGATCAGACCATAAGATACGGTGAGTTGTCAGCTTGAGTAATCCACCGTCGAAAGCACTTCGATTAGGTCCATCGTATAAACGGACGCCAGTTTTTTGTAAAACTACTGTTTCTTCATATAGGCTATCCTGATTGGTCGATCCATAATTTTCAACATCGTCTGAGCACCAACGAAAACGGTCCATAAATCACATAGATTACAGATATTGTATCTAGTTTTAAAAAAATGAGGTACTATGAGTTAGAGAAAATCACCAACACGAGATTAACAATAATAATTATAATTAACTGAGTAGGACTTTATGAACTATTCCCAAGAGACTAATAAATATGAGAACTTATGTACATAATACCTTGGCAACATAAGATGTTTACAGTAAAATGACGTTATGAAAAGTTTCAGTAATCTTTGAACTAACGGGACAGCAAGCCAGATAGTATATACCTTAACATTATTTATAATCACTAAAATGTAAATAATGATAACTAAATAATAAGACCGTAAAAATAGATAACATGAAGATATGGATAAAGATGCCCAAATAATTTGTCACCTTCGCTACAGATTCATAAAATGTAACGTTAAGTACTCCAAGTGAACTTTTAGACTGATATGAACGAATCGGTTCGATTTTCAAGGTAGATGAGCTACACTTTGTGGTAAATGAATGCATTAATTTTTGTCAAACTTCAGAACTTAAAGCAACAAATTTAAGCCACAAAACAAAAATCTAATCCTTCTAAGATTGATGTGATTGGTTTTAAAGTTAAGGCGAAAAAGCAACTTGAAACTGTGGACCAATATATAAACTAGTGCATAAATTCAATACCAAGAAACCAACGGCTTTCTTAAAAAGCATAAGATAGAAGCGGAGTGTTATTGTAACTGTTGGATATAGAAAATTTTAGACATCAATAAGTTAACCTAGGAACTCTAGAGCATAAATGGAAAAGGGTTATTAACGATATTTCCCGTACATACGAAATCAAGTTGTCAAATGGCTATTACTGATTTGAAGTTTTAAGTTACATTTTGTATCAAGCTTCAGTAGCTACTGAGTTTCATTCTCGAAATAATCTAACACAATTACTTATAGTCAAGACTATAAAATTAACTGACAGTTTACGGAAAATTAAGATTACCGTACAATCAGAATAGGCAATGAAACACCTGTCATCTTTTCATGATTCGTTAGTCAAGTTGCATTGAACTTGACAATTCTAGATTTATTAATAGTTGAATAAATTACAACAGATGGTAAGTAAATGTAATCAAAAAACGATAAGAATTAAGTGACTAAAAGTCGCCTTATGAATCACATCATACAGAGCATATATATTCGATGAAAGAAATATTAACCAATGTACTAGATTTTAATAATTCACCAAGCAAAATTTGAATTTATTTGTTTACTGGGTACAACTGGATTGATAAATAATATCTGTGCTAAAACTTTCTCAAGTCCCTTTTTACAAAATCCTCAAATTTAGTCAATAAAATCCCAGAAACAACGACACTTTAATAACCAAATTTTAATTAAGTTCATGAACCGATCAGTGTTAGAACACCATTGCAAATTTGCAAACTCAACGGCCATGTCGTCCCAGTATAGGACTCCTAGATAGTGAGTATCCAAAATTCTGCCAAGCGATTTTCTTTAACAATCTCCCTAAATGCCCTGGTACGGCCGAGAGTGCGGAGAGTTAGCTCTCCCTCTCAAAATGCTATCACATGGCCACGCGTATATAGCCTCTGCCACAGAAGTCCTACTCACTGTCTTCTCGTGGTAGGGGTGTTGTTCACGAAATTGAGAGGACGAAGAGCGAATGTCCGGCAATTTAAACGGGTTGGTGGACACAGAGAGTCCACCTAGGGGAGTTGGAAAGCCCTGGTTCCAAACCAATGGTGCACATGGGCTCCAGTATCCTGACGGAACAAATGGAGTATGAATCTGTTATTGGTCACCGGCTACCGTAGGACTGCAGTTCCTAATGTTGCTCCACTGCTTTGTGGATCAGACCCTTAGGTCGAAGGCCCCGGGTGTGGTCCTCTAAGAAAATCACCTGCTTCGGTTTGAGCACACGGGTAGTATCATAGCCCACACACAAAATCAAATCACTTGTGTAGTGCATATGTATTTGGTGCCCCTTTGTGCCAATATTTATGTGTTTAAATAAAATAAATAAATGAAATTCACATGCTTTAAACGATGGACTTTGCCCATAACCTAGCCTCTTTTCGAATTATTAATTTGGATATATAATTGTAGAACCTGAATAGAATTTATCGAAAAGAACATTCTTTATTGAAATATTAGCCTTATTTATGTAGTTACTTTTTAAAAAATATTTATAACCATAGATTAAATTTCTTTTTTCCAAAAACAGATGAAGATAAAATATCCGTTTTTCAAGCACAGTCGTGTTATGAAGTGCTTTCTAGTGGTTTCATACTTAAAAATCCGTGCATTACTCTGAAATGTAATCAAATTGTGTAACGCATACAGAAACACACATACACATATAAAATAATCTACATAGAAAGCAGTACCAAACGATGAATAGGGATGCATATTGTATTTCACAACAAAAGGAAAGACATTAATATAACGCATATATTATGCTAATGATTAAAGAAAGGGGTAAACATAACAATAGTAATAATGACGTAATCACTATACAAATTTCTGTACATTGGAAAGCACTGTATGTAAATAAATAACAAATAAGTAAATTCAACTGTATAAACAAAGAATTTGTTCCATTTCAGTTGTCAATAATTGAAGCATTTGTATTCCTACCAAACGATTTGATGATATCTTCAATTTAACTCCCAACTGCTAATGCTTCTCTGCTTCGCTCTCTGCGTGCAGGATCTAAAATAATGCACAGATTAAATGTATTTATATATAGTGAATATGAGAATTGAGGTGGATGTTTATAGCTCAGGATGAGGATTGTTGAGTTTTCTGAGCTGGATGGTTTAGTTGCGAAAAGAGACTCCTTTTGGAAGTTGTGCTGGTGGTGTTCTTCAAAATAACAACCAGCTTTACAACTAAACCATCAGGCTCAGAGAACACTTTGCACACGAAAGTTCTGCATTATATATAAATGTAAAAATGAACGTAGAGTATAGCAAGTTACCCGCTGTTATGTTTACAAACTGACAAAAGATACTATCAATGTTTTAAATCATCAAGACACAGGTAAGTTTTATTTGGTGTAAAAATTAAAACTGAGGTAAATTGGAATGCTGTTTTGGTTAAAAACAAAAATGAAGTGTATTGTTTACTGGATGTCCAAGATAACAAAGTGATACATGTCTGTGAACTAACTGATTGGAAGCCGGAAAATGGTAGTAGAACAATGTATCGTGGTACTAAAAACTACTTCATTTTAAATCACAAAATTACAGGCTAAAACCACACCGTTAACTTTTGCTTGTACAGCCAAGTAAAATAACTGTCATAGAAAAATATGGAACAAGGCTGGATACACAAACACATATAACAAATTTTAACCAACTAATGGTTAAATGTGTGAAAAACTAACGGGATACCAAATAAACCGTAAGATAGAGAGAATTGAGGCCTGATACAACAGAACAAAAATGTTTTACATCACTCAGTAATCTATCGAATTAGACAACTGTCCTATGAGTTGGCCACCAGCCAAATAGTTGAATTATAGTCATCAGCCGTGACATTGGACAACCTAGTTTTGAATCCCACGAAAAGTACCAATTCTTTTTAAATCATAGATTTACTTTAATAACTAGTTCAAATTAACATAAAACCAAGGCTCAAAGCTCTCTACCATCTGCTTCCAACCTTCAAATAAGAATAAGGAAGTATGATAAGCATTTGTGACATTAAGCTACTTGATAAAAAACAGCTAACAAGTGATATGTTTTGTAAATTAAAAAGAATCCATGCTCGTCATTGCAAGACGTCAAAACTATGGTACAACTCTATTTATATAGTAACAATTGTGATGTTTAAAAGCAACGAAAATGGCAGACTAAAAGTGAGAGTAACCCGCAAATGCCGAGAGTGCGGAGAGTTAGCTCTCCCTCTCAAAATGCTATCACATGGCCACGCGTATATAGCCTCTGCCACAGAAGTCCTACTCACTGTCTTCTCGTGGTAGGGGTGTTGTTCACGAAATTGAGAGGACGAAGAGCGAATGTCCGGCAATTTAAACGGGTTGGTGGACACAGAGAGTCCACCTAGGGGAGTTGGAAAGCCCTGGTTCCAAACCAATGGTGCACATGGGCTCCAGTATCCTGACGGAACAAATGGAGTATGAATCTGTTATTGGTCACCGGCTACCGTGGGACTGCAGTTCCTAATGTTGCTCCACTGCTTTGTGGATCAGACCCTTAGGTCGAAGGCCCCGGGTGTGGTCCTCTAAGAAAATCACCTGCTTCGGTTTGAGCACACGGGTAGTATCATAGCCCACACACAAAATTAAGTCACTTGTGTAATCGTTGCCACTTTGTACTAATTTTTACTTGTTCAAATAAACAATGACCAGTACGTAGTGTGACCTATTCCCAATTCCTTTAAAACAAGTCTGACAGTAAAAATGACTAGAGGAGCTAAAGATAATAGGTGCAAAAAAAGCATCAGTTAAAAAACTAACTTTTAAAATTGCATCGAAAAATTAAACAAATACTTCGTTAAAAAGAGGTAAGCTGAATACGAACTCAAAAGGAAGATGGTTAGAATACCAGAATAGTTTCATATACATCACAAACAAATACAACCTATTACATCTTCTGATGTTCAGTATTCCTTGGATACAACTTCATTCGACTGATCCCAAATCAAAACAAGAATTTGAAGCGAGCAAACATATTTTCCAAAAGGCGAACAATCGAAGTCAGTATATTAACGACATTAAAGTTTATATAAATCCTACACAGGAATGTTCATCTACTAGCATTGGTCCGTTGAAAATGGATCTTGTCTCCAAAATACATTAATCAAAGCACTGTCCTGTTGACACAACTGTAATAAGAGTTGTGTACAACATAACAGAAATATATTATGTAATTATTTAGCAAGCATTATAAGTTAAGCTATATATTAAACTCTAGTATCCCAAATGAATTTCCCAACACTACCACGATTACCCACGAACCCAGACGACTAAAGGTAATGAGTACAACATTTGAAATGCG